AGTAGTTTCTGAGAGAAGTATTTCAATATGAAGCAAAAGGAAAAAATGAACAATGGAATCTCAAAATACTACTCAAGTGCCCCAAATTATAAAGGAAAAAGACAAAATAAATTCAAATCTTTCACATTTCAGGCTCAAAATGTATTCTCAAACTGGATCACCTTTTGGGCACCAAAGGTAATGGACTATTTTTTTTTTTTTTGGAGGGGGGGTGGAAACAGTGGCTTTGATTTTGTGTTGTAAATTCTTAAAAATAGACAAAAAATTGACAGCAAGCTCAAAAAAAAGGAAGAGCAGAAATATTTAGGTACAGGAAAAGTGGAACAGAAAAGCCCACTAATATTATTAAATCCTTATTTTAGTTTTTGAGTGATTGCCTTTATAACTCAAATAAGTTTTTTTTAAACATTTTACATAGTGTCCTACCATTTTTGTATTTTCAATGAACTGCGGTATCCACATCAGTTTATAGGAAAAGGTTGTTAAAAAGACTTAGCCCATGCTTAATCAAAATAAATAAATAAGGCTAACTATTTTATGAAATATTAAGAGCTTTTAATAAATGCATTTAATACACTCACACAGAAACAGAGAATTACTAAGTTGTTAATAAGAGCACAAAATGTGGAAAATAGCAAGTACGTACATATATTCAGACAAAAAATATTAAAGAAAAATTGAGTGGCCAGACACAGATAATTGGGCAGCATTTAATTTACAAGAAAAGCAAGTAAACCCAGGAAATTGCTGCTAAGTGAAAAGGTGCCGCAACACACTAATCAGGAAAGTAACCTAGTTATTGTTTCATTTTATTATTTTTTTTTAATATGAACGCCTAAAGACTAACGCAATGTGCAGCTGTGCATAGGAAGATAAACAGGATGCTGGACTGAAGGACTACATGCAGATAGGATAAAAATACAGTGCTGCTACTAATGATACGTGAACATACTAAAGACATATGCCATTACCTGCAACTCAAAGATATGACAGAATGGCTCATATTTTTCAATAGTAGATGGAAAATTAAGTTGCAGAATCATTTTCACATATTCTGTCTGAAGCTATTCTGTGTATTCTATATATATATATATATATATACACACACACACTGTATCTATTACATTAAGATGTGCACTAAAAAGTTTATTTTCTTTTTAATTTCAGAAAAAAAGTATTCCTAAGTAATTTAAGTATCTGAAAAATAAAGCTGTCATTTGGAGAACTGTGTAAGGACTGCCAGGAATAACTGGCTCTTGCAGCAGGAAATTTGAAGCAGCTGAAGGTAGCTCAAAACAACAAAGCTATCTACAGCAAGTAGTTTTTCCTTCCTCTCTATAAGAGAAACTTCAAAGGAAGAAGCAGCTTTTTGGGGCATTCTATTTAAACACCTTAAATTTTAAGTAATACTTATTTAATTAGGTTTAGAATACACTCTTAAGTAATCTAACATTGTCACATTTGTTGAAAAAAAAAAGGGAGAAAAAACCTGCAAAACTTGCATAAGGCAGCTGCCTGGTTCACCTTTGGCTAGGTGTCTGTCCTGATGAGTGGGGGGTGTAAGGGGAGGGGAAGGAGAACTTCTGTGCCTATCAGAAGCAGTGAAACCTCTTTAAATTATACACAGGAGAGTTACTTAAGTTTAGAGTACTGAGAATATATTCTACAGCTTTAGGATTTCTAAGCAGAACCTAAATTACCACTAGAAAATACATGAAACTCTTCAGAAAATCCTCCAAACCAAATGTAAACTCATGTCATGGTGCCTTCCTGGCATGAGTGACAAAGCAGGCAAGAGTTATCCTAAGGTAGGGGTGGACTAAAAATCTTATCTAAATGTGTGTTACATATGATTTCTAAAAGTGAAAATTTAAAACTCAGTGTTACACTATTCATCATTTTCATTCCTTTCCTGTTTATCTCGCAACAAAACAGAGAAAAAGGACAATAATGTAAGTGGCTTGCTACAGAAGTCTACACTGAAAAAATACATATTAAAAACACCTTTATTTCTCTTTTTTTTTTCATGCAATTCTTCTATTGTGTCATGGAAGAGAAAAACAAAACAAAAAAACAGGATGAAATTCAAGACATCTATTCAATATGCATTAAGAGAGAACAAATATTGTTCCTTGAATGGGACTCCAAGAGACTTACAGGCCAACTAAACAACCACTTAAGCACATATGTGAGAAGCAGCTAGCCTAGTATTAATATGAGAATATGCAATAAAGAATATGACAATAAGATATGCAGTTCTGTTTCTTCATTTTTACTATACAACATTTTTCATGAAATATAAGGAAGTTTTTATTGTGATTCATATAATACAATAAAGTTAATATAATGTAGTTTGAAAACTCTTAATTTTTTTTTTTAGTATCTTTAACCATAAAGATGCAATAAAACTACTTCCACTAGAATAACAACCTGTAGAATTGTGAAAGATTTTAGAAAAGTTAAGGGCCATTGAAATATTCTTGTATAAAGCATTTAAAATTCTCACCTATTCACCGATGGTAGAAGTGAAAGCAATGCCAAAGCTGAAAGTTTTCATCTTTCTGGCTGAGTGATGTTATCCATCTAATCAACACACATTTCAAACATGTTACCAAGAAGTTGGTCCAACTGGGAAAAAATACATTGCGTATAGTTAATTTACAGATAGATTGCTTTGTTGTACTGGAATGTAAATGAAAACAGAATGTTTCACAAATGCATACCCACCTATTTTGGCATTAGAAAAAAATTAACAATCAATTTGGAGACCTTCAGTCTGGGAAAGTCACCATACAGTTATGTTACATACAACAAGAAATTTGCAGCAATAGTCTATTTGTATCTTCTATGACAGTCCTTCCAGGCCTGAGGACTTCCTCCTTTCATACACAAACATGCCAATTAAGTCTATTCATCATAACCCAGAAGTCAGAAATACTTCAAATACTGGGATAGAACACTCAATTACTCAAACACTTTTCATACAGACATTTAATATATTTAAGTCACATAACTTTTACCATTGAAGGTAAAAGAGAGCAAAAAGCCAAAAACTGAGGACCTGTTTGAAAATCCTATTTTACCCAAGAATAGGAAATTTACTAAAGTTCACTCAAAGTGAAACACTTGCAGCATGAAAGCTTATTAGTGAAAGATAGTGTCTTTTACCTTGAGCCCAGAAGCTTGCACTGATTGAGTTAGAATAGGAGGTGAAACATTTGGTATGGCATACCTAAAGCTTTAGCAATGTGTTTTTTTCATGCTTAGATTTCAGTTAACCGACTCCCTAGCAGTTGAGCATAAATCACTTAAGTTTTGAGACTTCTTGTTGTCTTAGTCTTTCAGAATATTCCTATCACAGAAGTCCTCAATTTCCTAGCAACAGCAGCATGCTGTACAAGGAACATACATGCAGACACAATTAAAACACTTTCCAAATTTGAATGAATGTTTCTGTTAGGGTATGTGAATAACAGCATAAAAAGCCAGCAAGGATAAGAAAAAATAACAGGCCAAAGAACCTTAGGAACCTAACCAGTGAAAATGAAGCACACAATCAGCTACTCCTACCAAAGGAGAAAAACTAGCAAAGCTACCAAATGAGAAAAACTAGACCAATGGCACTGGTATGAAACCACTGAGATGAGTCAAGGAAAGAAGCTTCCACCATGTAGTGCCATGAGTAAAGCTCATGAGATGTTTTAAGGGGATTGTGGAATATACACAACTTATTGCAGATGAGGAAGGACCAAAGGAGGGGAAAGGGAGGAATCAAGTTGGATTGGGGAGAAACAAGCATGAAAAATATAGGGATAAGTTCTCCAAAAGTATGAAGGGACATCAAAAGAAGACAAGGCTTCAATATGCAGGTTAGTTGAAGTACCACGACAAATATCCTTACCTCCCGACCCAATTCACAAGCCATCTGGCTCAAAAGTAATGAAAAAAAACTTGTATTTTGTAGAAGAACTCTCCCCATGACCCGCAGATAAGTAGACATCACCATTGGATATCTCTGAAACAGGAGTAAACCAGAAAAATAAATATTACTAAGAAAAAAAAAATATTTAACATACAAACAGAAATACACAGAAAGTATTGCATGCATCTTTGGTGTATTTTATTAAATTAAAAATTATAAACTGTACCACCACTCAGAATACAATACCGAGGACTCATTACCAAGGAGTTTCCTGGTTCTCAAAAACAGGAAAGCTATGGCAATCAAGTTCAGTTTTCACCAAAGACAACTGAAAGTGGCTTTATATTGCATTTGAAATTCTGCATCTTAAGGAAAAAAATCTATTGTACTATTTAAATTGTCTTTTAAAGTTGATTATGATTAAAAATTACTATTTTAATGACATTTAGAAATGCTTAATATTTCTAAAATTAAATAGTTTCTCTGAGAGAAATTAAATGCATTTGCCAAATCTTAACTTGCCAATGTCTCATAGCTAATTGGAGGCACTAAAAACCTCATTAGTTTATTATGGTTAGTTATTTTCATTTTAAAAGGAAAACACAAATTTATTTGTCTTATCCAGCATTCATCAAGACAAACTACTGGCACTGCTTACTTGAAAAACAAAAAGTTTAGCTGAAAAAGCTATTAGTGAAAATGCAAGATTAATACATTTTTGAATATTAGTAAATGAAATAATTATGCTCTTCATGCAGAACATATCTTTTAATAATCTATTCTGTTTTAAACTGGGTAGTTTTGAATCTTTCAAACAAAAAATTGTTCAAACAGTTTTTTTTTTTTTTTGTATTTTATACAATAACCAATATATTGCTAAGTAATATTGCTTCGTTTAATCTTGGGAATATCTCAGTTAATTTTAGTGAGAGACAATGTTGTTACTTGGAAGTCTTTAACTCTGAAAGAACCTAAGGTTTTGCTCAAAAAGACATAAGCACCAAGAATCCCCCAAGTGACTTTTCTCACAAAAATATATTTTTTGGTCCTGTTAGTGCTGCAAGGCTCAACAGTTAAAAAGTATTTGAATTCATTTGGTCTAACACCAGAACTTCTTGACAGCAGACTTGCGCAAAGATCACTGGCAGGAGAAAACAAATCAAAGTAGGGCATTAAAATCATTCGGACAAGCATTTGGGATATCTCAAGATGCTGCAGTGCACCTCATACATATTACTTCCTCTTCTGTGATTTCTGGGGTATCAACTTTGATAGCAAAGAGCCCTCCATTTTTTTAGCCACTCAGAAGTGTAATAATTCACTCATTTATTCCATTAATGTGGGAAAATGATAAGTAATGGGATAAGTAATATCCCAGCTATTACTAGTAATTTAAAAATGATATTGCTAATTTGTACTTTTAAAAGAAAACACAAAGAAAAAAATCAAGAAATAATGCATTTAAAAATGAATATAAAATTTCACACAAGTGCAGTAAGCATTTAACTACAGTATACTGAGTGCTTATATAACAGTAACATCAAAAGGAAGAACTTAAGACCATCTAAGTGAAAAATATATCCTAAAGCCTCTCATTTAACAAGAGCTGAATGATGTGATAATGTTCAGTTATATCAGCTAAAAAAAAGAAGCTGGAGACAATCTCCTTCCTTCCCAGCTCATTTTCCTCTGGTGCATGTGACACTTAACAAGGGGGAGTTTGTCTTAAACAAGACCCGACAAAAAAAAAAAAAAAAAAGAAAAAAAAAAAAAAAAAAACTTCACAAAAGATCTGACAGAGCATTACCAGTGTAAACATGCCACATTTTCAGTTTTAACAGTTCAGAAAAATCTGTCATTTCATTGAAGTAAACACTGGATGACAGCAAAAGCGATGAAATATGCTGCTTTAACAAGATTTGGTGCTACTATGTAACAGTTATTTTAAGTATACAAAGACCTAGTAGATGCACTTAAAACTAGAAAGAAAGAAAATAATGTCAAAATGAAAGTTAAGCCAGATAGGAAGGCACCCTCAACTTAGGGTAACAAGAAGTTGACAGCAGTCAAAACAAACAAACAAACAAACAAACCAAAACAAAACCTTACCTCCCCATCCATAATTCCCCTAAATACTGATAGAAGAAGAGGTTGAAACATTTGAGGCCCCAAAACAGGGTTTACTTTTATGACATTTTCCACAACCTTAAAAACAAAAGCAAATCAGACTAAGTATATTTAGAAATTGTAACAGAGATTTAAAACTACATATACTGGCCTATAAATAGTCTTGCTGTTAGGATGCTTGCTGCCAGCTATCAGAAAAAGCAGGATTACAATTCATTTCAGAAGAGCTCAAAGCTGAAAGAATGCTCTAGTGAAGCACTCTGCAAGTCTCATCTGTAGAGCACAACTGACACACTGTAAGACCTGACACATCAAGGGAAATTAAGGGGCTACCAGGCTAAGCTCCCCCTAGCCTAGGCCAAGCTGGCAAGCCAGGGCTCTGGGAAAAGCAGCTTGATGAGGGGAGCTGGAAGGGAGGAATCCCAGCAGTTTGGGGATCATTTCTATTCCTCTGTCCTGTCATCGCTGCATGGGACCTACTAGCTCCCTGGATATATTCATGCTTAGCTAATAACCTGAAACACTGTAAAATAGGATGCTGTAAGCAGTGACTTGGCTGCTCCTGAATATGAAGCAGAAATTAGATACAGTAATTTCAGTTTTCGAAGTCCCATCTCATAGGAATTCTCAAAGTAACCACAGGAAAGGAAAGCTTCCTTGACAACTAAGTCAGCAGTTCTTTTCAACAACCTCTTTTCTACCAGAAAATACGCATTCTCTAACCTAAAACACTTCACAGCCAGTCATTATAGCAGAAAGACAAATGGAATTGTTTAGATTTTCATGCCATACGAATAAATTCTCAATTTCTTTAACACTTGCCATTGTTGCTGACAGAATTAACACAGCAACCACTTCAATTGTGGTAGAATATCCATAAATCCAGTCTTTATGTACACACCTCCAAAAGCCACTTAACTCACTATAATCCATTGAAAAGATTAGTACTTTCTGCCCACTGGTACCCTTCACTTAATTTGCTTTATTGCTTTTCTCCTTTCTCTTTTTGATACTACTTAAAATAAGCAATCCATTCACAAATTAATTTTGCCTTTTTACTTTTTATACTTTGGCTTTACTGAACTCCTCCATGTAGAACAGTTCTAGCTCACATGGTACTCTCCCTTCCAAAACTCAATTAGAATTGAAAAAATTTAACTGGATTTTTATATATTCCAACAGTACAGTGATTAAACCTAATTTAAGTCACTTGACATAAACATACTCCTACTCTGCTACTGTATACTGAAGAATGTTGACATGGCCTTTTTTCAATTTTATATATATATATATAGATATTACAAGACATCTAATTTATGTACATTCTCAATTACAAGTGATATTCTTGGTGCTCTAAGATTCCTGAGAGCAATCCCATCTTGACAATACAATGTTTGGCCACCTGCCTGTAAAGGTTAGGTATGATATTGCCAGGACATGATCCAATTAAAATAGTTAAGATAACAGAGCTGAATATCTGTGTATTTAACATTATTTTGATTACCCACTACCTTTAAAACTTGAACTTGACCTTCAATAGTTATATCCTTTAATAGTTCACAGAATGACTGGCACAAGTCAGTAGCATACATCTGAAATTAAATGAGGAAAAAAAAATATGTAAATATACTTTAACTCTATGTGTATGCATTCCAAAACTCAACAGCATTACATATGTCAGACAACTCAGCTGTTCTTCAAAGATGAAATTCAAATTTCCTGAACTGATCAAATTTAATGAAAGCTTTGTCAACAATCAGGCTCAATGAACAAGATCGCTAGTTGATTCCTTCATAGGACTTATGATCATAATTTGAATCCTGGTAAGATAGTTAGCAAAGTAGTAACTATTATTAACCTTTATAGGACCTTTCGAGGTAGCAAAGTATCAAATCAATTCACAAGAATCTTAACTCTAATAACTTTTCTGAAATCTGATATTACTGGACATCCACTATATGTATCATAAAGAGCTAACTAATATCAGAAAAGTGTGCCTATATATGCATGAGAACATGCATGCTTCTAGGTGTGTGATATTTCCCAATGCAAGGGGAAAAACTTAGCTGGACAATAAGGAACTGTGGTCGGTTATATAGATATAGCAATATGGCTTCGTGCTTGACAAGCTGACTTGGCCTGACTTAGGCTTAGGGCCTGGCACTCGGAAGATCTCGCAATGTTACGGAAAGCAAAGGGTCAGCAGAGATTAAGGCGAGTCAGCTGTCTTACTTTGAAGAATCAGTACCTAGCCATGTGGGGTGGCATTGTTGCTGATTGGTGGCAGAACAAGCTTCTGCATTCGAAAGGAGTATTAATGTAGTGAGCAGTAAACAATAAAGGGC